GCAACCCCCTCTCACCTTCACCACCGCCCCCCAAAAAACAGAAGCAACAGCAACAACAACAATGACAACGACGACATTAATAACATTAACTGAAACAGAGTCGATGACCATAATAACAACAACAACAACAACAACAACAACAACAAGAGAAATAACAGCTGCAGCAAAAAGGATAATCTGTCCAGCAATAACAACACCCTTCCACCAACAGAACACACCACCAGAAACAAACAAAGGAGTTACAACTGAAACACCCACACGTTGTGAAGACAACCAGCTATTGTCCCCTCACCTCTGAACTCTGAACTCACTAGTTTGTGTTCTGGTCGTCTATTGCTCCCTGACCCCTGCCCCCTGAACTCACCAGTCCGTGTGTTGGTCATTTATTGCCCCCTGACCCCTGACCCCTGAACTCACCAGTCTGTGTGTTGGTCATCTATTGCCCCCTGACCCCTGACCCCTGAACTCACCAGTCCGTGTGTTGATCATCTATTGCCCCCTGCCACCTGACCCCTGACCCCTAAACTCATCAGCCTGTGTGTTGGTCATCTATTGCCCCCTGACTCATGACCCCTGCCCCCTGCCCCTTGCCCCCTGACCCCTGAACTCACCAGTCCGTGTGTTGGTCATCGATAACCAGCAGCGTCTTGCAGCGATCTTTGTTATAGGAGGGTTTGCCGGAGGAGGACGAGGAGGAGGAGAAGAGGCGTTGTCCCAGATTGGCCGAGGACGCCGATTTGGACGGGGAGTTTGGCGCGCTGGGACTTGGGCCTTTCCGAAAGTTGAGTCCGCCCACATTGGGCGAGTCGTCATTGTCGCTTGCCTCCCCCTGGAGATCTCCCGAGGAGAAGCGGCGGCGCAGGTAGTTCATGCCGGAGCCGAAACTGTCCTTGAAGTTGGAGAAAGACATTCTGGATTTGACCACAGGGACCACGCCAGACGTACACTTGGCGGTGAAGGAGTAGATGAGGTTTTGGAGGTATGGGAGGATGGTGGATGATGGTGAGCTGTTACCGTTGTTGTCGCTGGCGGAGGTAATGATGGCGGTTGATGTAGTAGCTGTGGTTGAGGGAGGATGATGGCTACGCGGTGAAAAGTGAAGTTTTGGATTGTTTCGCTTTCATTCCACAGTGTTATGTCTGCTGCTAGATTATTATTTGATGTAGAGTGTAGAGATGATAAAAACCGTTTTAGTGATTGTTCAAACGACTTTGTTTTTCAAAACCCTGAATGACATGAATGGATGTGTAGCTATGTTTGGAATGGCTTCCACACTTCATTAGATAAAATAACAATGCATGAAATCTTACTTGCGTTTGTGAATACGTCGTTTTCTTACACGATTCGGTCACAGGACAGACAAAACTTCCCACATTCTAGATAATCCAAAAAACAGCACCGAACAATTGGTGAACCATTCCTTGAAACCAAATCGTATGTAATTTCTCAGTGCAGCCTTCCGCGACACACACAGCTCCAGATAGACATGTTGCCCTCTCAGTTCCACTCTCAGGACCGGGGCGCCAGGCAACTCGACGTTTGAGAAACCTACATGGTTCCCTCACCCACAACTCACGCGCACACAGTGGGACCGCCGCCGGAGCACTTAACGGGAGGCAATCGCTGGGGCTTGTGCCGATACTTTTCTTCCCCTCGCGTCCTCTTCCTTTACCCGATGACGCATTCCTCTCACTCTCACGAGATATTGTCGCCCGCGATCTGAGAGTCCTTGCTCACTCAACCTTGTTGCTTTGTACTCATAGTTGGAGGAATTCACACCTCCTTTTCTGAAAATAAAGTTCCCCGTTACTTAGCACAAAAATTGTAATTTCCTTCCTGTGAATAACTGTAGCTTTTTGGGTGGCCCTCCCACTTCTTTTCTCGTAGCCTACTCTCCAACTTTTTCTGATGCACAATTTGGCCTCAGTTTGTGTAGAATCTCCTTTCCTTACATCCAGTTGTCGTAGATTTGTGGGTGAGTCGTGAGACTTCTGAGAGCCAGTCCCGAGTGTGGCTCTCCTATAGCTGTGCCACTTGCTCCCTGTTCAGGAGTATGTGTGTGGGTGTGTGGGGGAGGGGGGTGG